AATTGAGAACCAGAACTACCATGGGCAAAGCTTTTTTCCCCAATCCTTCTACCTAAGTATATGAAGAATTACTGGGACAAAAATGTTCAGGTAAGTTTCTCAATACGTATATGTTAGCTCGAAGAAAACTCACAGACATTCCTATAAAGGAATTAATCTATTGCCAGTGAACATCCTTCTCCTGAACTCACCACAAATAAATTCAAAAGAAATTCAGAATCAGAATGATGTCGGATTACTCCCACCTCCAGAGCTCTTGTTTATGAAAACCTCTGGAGAGAAGAGAAAAGAAAATGGATGGCCGGCTGCCAGCTGAGCCTATTTGTCATGAATATGCCCTGTAGCACCTTCTGGAAATCTGTGCTATCTCTAAGTATACTCTTGGCCAACAAACTGTTTTAATTCAATATACTCCACCTTTCCGCTCTACTTGAAAGCTTTGACTTTAGTTCACTCTATAAACTGAACATAAAATAGCTATATTCACACATTTAATGTGCGGAAGAATAAAATATGGAACTGAGCGGAAACCTGCCAAGGTACTGACCAGCCCCTCTTCCTCGTGCGCTGCTTCTCCTCTCTGGCCATCTCCACCTATATTCTGTTTAATGAAACTATCAGCCTCTCAGAACTGGGAAGTTGCCTTTGTGTCTGTGAAGTGCCATGGACCCTTCTCCTCTCACATGCCCATCAGCGGCTATCTAAGGAGGAAAAACACAGAATAAATTTCCCATTTATTTTTTACACTTTTTGCCTTCCCTGAGGGAGAAGTCCTGGGGCTGGGGGGTGGATCTGAGGTTTTCCCAGTAGGAATTATCTTCTTCCCTGTGTGTTTCTCCCAAGGCTCAGGGATCAGTAATTTACACCTAAGTAGAAGCATGTTTCAAACCTATTTATAAACACATGCAAAGAAGAAAGTTTAAAGACTTATGACCAAACTCTGCCTTGTTTTTTAACCTTGTGTTGAAGCAAGCAGAGTTGCCAAGGTGTAAACAAGAGCAGAATTCAGCTTTGTACAATTTATTTTTAAAGGATTTCCTGTTAACTTCTGTCTTTAAAAAACAACCAACAACTAACCTTGCCCCACAACCTACCACTACAGAACAAAACAACCATAAATCCCTCCGAACTCAGGAATCTCATCACTTTAGGAAAGATCAGTTTCTAAGTAGCAGATGCAGAAAGGAAGAACAGGGAAGCTCCGATCTCAGCTCTGCATTAATTGGCAGCAATACCAAATGCTGTAAAAAAAGAGGCCTCAGATCAGATACAGTAATCTGCTCCCTCAGTTCATTTCCCCGTGAAAGCTGAATGTTTTTTCTCTTTGCAATGCTGTGGACAAGGAGACAAATTTCAAACCAAGACGACTGGCAGCAAGACAGAAAGCCAAACAAAGACTGTGGGACTAATCCGGTGACTCGGCACAACCAAACGTAGCTCCACTTTCCTAGTGAAATGAGTTGTAATGAATAAAGGTTCCTGATTTCCAATCAGCCGGGGCTCCGTGCTTTGTTAAACTCCTGACTGACCCCACCTGATTCTTTCTCTTCCTGTATGATTTATTATTCCAAATACAGAGAGTTTTGAGTGGCAACGGTGAGGTGTGTTTTTAAGAGGAGGAAAAACAAGACCCAGATGCCATGAAGTTCAAGTGGGGACATGACTTTGACATGAAGGATTGGCTTTCACACCGATACGCATCAAGGAAATTCCCTGTTTGAACTTTTATTTCCCTTCTGGCCCCATTCCTTGATACATTATAACGGCCAGGCCCGGCAGGCACCCCCAGCCCGGTTCTCCCTCGGCGCAGAGGGAGGATGGAAAGGGCCCCATGTGGGAGATCGGCCTCCCCTCAGCCGGCAAGCCGGGCCTGGCGCGGTCAGGGCGTGCCGTGCTCCGCTGCCGCCCAGCTCTTGCACTGGAGTCAAAGCTGTGGTAAAATGGCAGATTTGGGCTGCCACTCGCAGGCCATCCGCGGCAGCACACCCCCCCCCTCGGCCCCCCCCGCGTTTCCCCCGCTCTGGAGAGGCCCCGGCCCCACCGCCAGCCTCGCCCACCGCGGGGCGGGG